CTGTCAAACATGAGACGCCTAAAAGCATTCTGGATTCAGGTGACAGAGGAAGAGGAGAGAAAACAGGTGCAGCACACTGCTGAAGGTCAGATATCCAGGGTCCATATGACACATGACAGCTCAATAAATCAGGTCCATTTAGGACAGATGCTTGGAGACCACTCTGGATTTTTGGTCAAACTTGTGCAAAAGTAGCAACTTCTTTTTACAGATTTTAAATTTATTGTATTTTACAGTTTTTTATTAGTGCACATGTGCCAAATTCAAGGCCAAGTGCGGCCCACAAATGAGTTTTGTCTGTCCTGCCAAAAGCCCTGCTGTATACTGTACATGTGTATATATTTGAGGTGCAACGATACAGAAAAATCTGGTTCGGTTTGATACTTTAGTCTCACAGTTCAATTTTTTTAATAGAAAAAAGAGAAATTTTCATGCCCTTCTTAACTTGAAATTTATTTAAATGAATTTTGAACGAGGCAGCACGGTGGCTCAGTTGGTAGAGGTGATGCCTCTCAGCAAGAAGGTTGCCGGTTTAAATCCCATCCCGGGGACCTTTCTGGGTAGAGTTTGCATGTTCTCTCCGTGCATGCGTGGGTTCTCTCTGGGCACTCCAGCTTCCTCCCACAGACCAAAAACATGACTGTTAGGTTAACTGGTAACTCCAAATTGTCCCTAGGTGTGAGAGAGTGAATGGTTGTTTGTCTCTATGTGTCCCTGTGATGGACCTGCGACCTGTCCAGGGTGTACACCACCCCTCACACTGTGACTGCTGGATATGGGCACCAGTGACCCTAAAAAAGGAGTAAACGGTTGTAGATAATGGATGGATGGAATTATGAACATACAGTTTTTAAATTAAATGTTGCTAAAACAGCATATGTCAGTCGATCTGTGCTTGACAATGCAGTCTAGGTGGAGTAGTTGACAACAGATCCACTGAGCATCTTCATTAGACAAGCTGATAAAATAAATTTTAAAAATGTTTCTTTGTTCGATACATAGTGTGTACTGTGCCTAGAACATGGCATTGGATGGTTTTATACAGATACATTTATTGTTGCACTCCAATTAAATAAGTATATATTTCAGAATTTATGATGAAATTAGTTTTTATGTTAATTGTAAACTTTAAATTTATGATTCTATGCAACAAAATAAACACATTTTAAAAGAGGAACGAAGATAATACTTGTCATGTCCCTGCAATTTTATTGAATAGTGCTGTACTAAGGTCTCAAAATAAACTGCTTTAAAGCCAGATTTGACCATTTACTACATCTCCCATAATGCATCTTGATGGGAAGTCCTTGTTGGAAAGTGGGAGAGTTCAGAGTTCAAGACTTACCACAACTCAACAGTGAGTAAAACTTTCTTACTTTAACTTTTGTTAGTATTTCTTTACAATTCATTTCTCATTTAGTCAGTTGTACGCATAGTACTTTTCAGTGTTTACAAGAGGACATGTTAAAATGCTGTTTCTATGCAGGAAATACCATGTAGAGCTCAGTTATTTGTTAATAATGAGACGAGAAATGGGATGTTTTCTGTTTAGCGTAAGTTAAACACAAAACATCAAACTTTATTACAACTGGTCCTTAAGGACCACCATGATTTTCACTTGGCTGTTGTTGAAAATGAGTTTGACGTACCTGTATTAGTCATGGAACCTGGCCATTTTGGAAGAAAGACCTCCCTTCAGAGCAGAAATGTTTTATCACAGAGAATCACTCTGGAAAACTTTGCATGACCAACGACCGCCTCCCCGAACATAGAAGTCTCTCCTGTAGTTGATGGTTTTTGTGTATTTACTGCTTTGCATTTTGTCACAACTACACAGATGTGGACAGCTGACAAAGGAACAGTGAGGAAAATACCGAAATGACTTCATGAAGTATTACAGGTGCGGAAATAATCTCCCCCTGCTGTCGAGCACGATTGCCTTATTTAGATTCACTGCCTTGTCCCATCTGCGCAGCTGAAATCATCTGAGGCCTGGAGGTTATTAAAAAGCAGCCCCTGAAGTAAAATAAAGTCTCTGTGCATAGCAATCAAATAGTAAAAGCCATTTCTCAGCCTCTTGGTGTGGGAGTTTAATAGCCAAAGTGCCAACATTCACTCCTTTATTTTTATCTAAATGCTATTTGTTGCAGTGATGCTGGTGCATGGACATATTGATAAATCACAGAGCTGCAGACTGTCTGGGGTGCAGATGCATAAAATGCCTTAATATGGATGCCTCACATCATTCTGAGCACTGGTGGCAATGCAGTTTTTATTCTAAAGTCTCTTTGATAGTCTTTGTAACACTACTGCTATGAAGGTATTTGATTTGTGGTACAGAGCAGATGTCTTTAAATCTGGCTCCCAAAATCTCTCAGCAAAAAAAAAACCCATTGAGGTCAAAGGTCTTTCTAAGTTCCTAAACTTAATGAACCTACTTCCACCCAAAGGAAATCACAGCCAGGCCTCTGAATTACTCTTTCTGTTGACTAAGCAGTCTGCTCCCTTTGCCTCTTTCCACTCCTTCAGACAACCTGATCAAAACACAGAAGATTTTTTATTTATAGCAGCAAATAAAGAGGCTTTTAGAGAGGAGGTGTGTTTATTTTACAGAAACACGTGCTGGGGATAAAATCTGTATCTGATTGCATTCTCCAAATCACAAATTTCTAGTAATTTCTTATTATAACAATGGCAAAGAGAATTGTAGAAAAATACCAGGATTTAGTGTGTTGTTGTTGCCACAGTGAGCAAACTTGCTATTTCACACCAAAAGCTCTTCCTGACACAATTTCAGGAGTTTGAACCTGCAGCCTGAGGATAATGAGACCGCACTGACCACTGAGCTACTGTGGCCCCATATAATTCTTATTATTTAGTTTTACAAGCAAACTGTGACTTCTGCTACACTGGAAGGTTCAGTCATTCCTACCACTAGGGGGCAGAATAATCAACTTCACTGAGCGTGCAGTTTACTGTAATTAGATGATCTGGGAATAAATCTCTGATTTTATGGTTCTTGGTGATTAAAAGTGTTGTTTTTGTTCTTGGTGACAAAACAACAGCTTTCAGAAGGTTCATGGTAAAAACATAATGTGTTATTGTTGTTTTGCTATCATATAAGTCTTGTTGTTTTCATGTGATGACTAAAAATGTTAATAATTTTACTGAAAACAGAATCAAAATCAGCTTTATTGTCATTATTTCCAAGTTTACACAAGGAAGTTGTCCTGGTGATTTGGTGCAGGCGGTTCACAACAAAATAAACACAAAAACAAAGCGTTCCATACAATTAAAAATGTGCACAAAACATGCAAATTAATAAAGCATACACAAATATAACACCCAAACAAAAAAGTGAAAATCGTTACTAATGTAAATGTATGAAATTCAAAAGTTAAATGTTCACCATTTATTGTATTAAGCATTTATATACCCAAACAGAGCCTTATACAGTGGATGGATAGATGGGTGGGTAGATAAATATTCCCATTCATTGGATTTTACAGAGTTGAAGGAGCAGTTTTCTGTCTCGGGACAGGGGGGGTGGGGGTCACGTGGTTTGCGGCTCCAGCCAATCAGGAGTAACTGCGCATTGCGATGCTGTGCAGAGGGATTGTTTTATTGAAGGGCTGCTTGTGATCAATGAGCGAGTGGAGCTGTCCGCGGTGCTGAAAGTTACTTCTCGACGGGCTGAGCCTCCGCTTTTCTTTTCCTCTCTCCTTATAAGTGCGACACAAAAACGCACGTGGGAGAGGTTGAACCTGATCCAGGTCCTGGTTCCAGATCCTTTTTTTTTCCCTGTCACACAGCTGGACTCTCAGACAGACAGATTTGGGATTTCACTGCAGCTGAAACATTTTGAGCTGAAACTCCATCACAAACACACAAAATAAAATAAAAATCACAGCTTCAGTGCAAACCAACAGATTACTTCTGTTGCAGCTGCAAATCTAAAAGCTGTGAATGCTTGGGGTTACCTTTTTTTCTGCCTCCAATGCTGCTCAGTTGGTTGTATTTCCTCTGGGTGGTATAATTCTCCTCCTCCATTAATATTGCCGCCGGCATCGGCCACATTAATCTGTGGTTATATACGCACACACACACACGCACACACACACAAGTCCAGACCACATGGGTGCTACAGGCCAAAACTGATCAGACTGAGCTGCAGAAACAGTGCCTTGTGTTTATGAGTGACAGTGAAATGCTTCCTATAAAGCCTATGATAAATGGGGAGACCTGAATGTTTAAAGTTAAATGGAAGCATGTCACGTGCAGACAGATGGAGGGACTTTTAAATAAATACACACATGTTTGGACTGTATTGAGCTGAATGAAGACAAGTTGATGGATGGATGGATGGCTGGCTGGATGGATGGATGGATGGATGGATGGATGGATGGATGGATGGATGGATGGATGGATGGATGGATGGATGGATGGATGGATGGAACCATGTCCTCAAAAAGATTCCTTTATAAAAATTATTGATTGAGTTTGAACACTTTATAAAGCATTAATAATCATAAAACTGACATAAAACGTTGTTTATAATCCGATTCAGGTTCACTATTTGGCAAGAGTTGTGCTTTTATTTATTCATGTAATTAATTTACACTTCTTTGATTTAATTACTTAGTTGTTGTAACTAAAACCAAACTTTAATGTTCACAGACATGCAGGTTTGACATTTAACACGTATGTTATGATCATGCCTGCTTGTTTAAAAAGTGTGATTAATGTTTTACAACGTGTTGAATAAATTATAAAGCATTAATAAATTCGTCATTGAGCCGCTGTTAGAAAGTAGTTTCTAAAAGCACCATATCAGTAGTTTTTATTGACTGAAAGAGGCTTCCTGGTTGCGACCTTTTCATGACGTGGTAACGGTTGTTTTGGTATCCCCCACCACCCCACCACNCCACCCCCCACCCTCCTCCTCTGCCCAATCGGAGGCACCGCTCACATTCAGCGCGGTGCCGAAATGGATCCCCTCATCATGCAGCGGCTCGGTCCTCCTGTGAGGACCATAATGACATCCTTTTGGGTCGGGTGCTCCGCGGTGCCTGCCTGCTGCTGCTGCTGCTGCTGCGAGCGGCAGCTCTGACATGGAAAGCCCCCCTCAGCTGCAGCCCTTCTACCCAGAGCAGTGTGAGCACCAGCAGCACGACTGCGGGCGGGAGGATCGACTCGGCGAGCAGCAGCAGCAGCAGCGCGAGCGGAGGCGCACCTGCAGTCGCTGCACCTGCGAGGCGCGGAGGAGCCTCGCGTTCCGCGGGACGCCGCCGACCACCGTGGGAACTTTGAGGACGCCCTCGGAGACGTCCTCGAGGCACGGCTGCCAGACCTGCGACTTCACACCCTCCAGTCATGGTAGTTCCTCCAGACATCATCATCATCATCACCTTCCTCACCAGCAGCTGCATCCTCATCCTCCTCCTCATCATCATCATCATCAGCAGCAGCAGCAGCAGCCGGGCAGCCTGGGCAGCAGCCACAGAGATACCAACTCGTACAATGAAACAGCCATGAGCAGCTGCAGGTACAACGGCGGAGTGATGCGGCCGCTCAGCAACTTGAGCTCGTCCCGCAGGAACGTGCACGAGTTCGACTCCGAGTCGCAGCCGCTGCAGCCCCTCTCGGCCGCAGATGCGTCGGACGGGCTGGTGTCCAAGCCGGAGAACAATTCCACCACGGTGATGCCTTACGCATCGGGGGACGGAGGGGGAGGCTGCGGCCACGGAGGAGGAGGAGGAGGAGGAGGTGGTGGTGGCGGCAAATCTGGGAAGAAGAAGAACCAGAACATTGGGGAGAAGCTGGGACACAGGCGGGCCTTGTTTGAGAAGCGGAAGCGTCTGAGCGACTACGCGTTGATTTTCGGGATGTTTGGGATCGTTGTTATGGTTATAGAGACTGAACTCTCATGGGGAGCCTACGGGAAGGTGCGTATGAGCTCAGCAGTCCCGAACAAGAGTTGATTTAGTTCTGCTTCGTGACGGAAACAACTTTTAGAAGTCTGGAGACAATCAGCCTGTCCTGACAGGTGCAGGCCAAATGGTCAAAAACATAAAGCAGAGCTGCATGTTCTGATCTTTTCTTCTCCTTTTGCAGGAATCCCTGTATTCTTTAGCTCTAAAATGCCTGATAAGCCTTTCTACAATCATTCTCCTGGGGCTGATTATCATCTACCATGCAAGAGAGATCCAGGTAATGTTTCCCCCTATTTATTTGTGATGGCAGCACTTTTACTGCTGAAACACATCATTTGCAGACCCAACAAATGGGGTTTGCAACCAATGGCTCTGACCACATGTGGCTCTTTATAGAGGTGTAGCAATTCATCCCTCCACATTGATATGTCGATTAAATGGTTAATGATTCATTTATATCAAGGCAAAACTAAAACATGGATCCATATTGTCCACCTGATCTGGATCGATCAACAAACTTGGTGATATTCGAAAAATGTTGTATCTTCATCCAAACAAATCAATACAATATGTAACGTATCAGGATAAAGCTGATTCATACTTTGAAGCTGCTCTTTGCTTTGATTAAAAAAACATTCTTATAATTTTTATAACAATACCAGAGATTCAACAGTTTTCCTGCCCAATTGATTAAACTTTTGGAGTCAATTTAAGATGACCACCTCAGTTAATTAAGCCAACACAAAAATGGCAATGCCTCAGTGAATTTTACAAATATTGAACTAAAATTTAGTATAGTAGCACAGTAACAAATGCTCTAACTCATAAACAAATAATTTAAGATGTGGCATAAAATCTAAGGTTTGACCAAAACAACCATAACTCTATTATTTCTCAACATGAACTTGTGGCTTTTATTTAATCCAGCTTCCAGCTATTCAGTGTGATTTTTCTCTCAAATTTACCAGGAAAGTATAAAAAACAAAAGCGTACTTTAGACTTATCACAGATTATAGGTCATATTTTAGATAAAGGCTTCAGCAAAAAAACGTGGCAAGTCAATTTCAAAAGAATTAAACTTAAAAGTTTACCTTTAAGTAAATCTCTCTGTTTACATTTTCCAAAATAAGTCATGATTAACAAACTAATGTGTTTTTTATTTCAAAATGCAAAAAGTTATACAATTTTTCACATTTAAATGGTCAATGAGCACTTTACACTTCAATCATTCACACACCGATGGTGAAAAGCAACATTGTAGCCACAGCTGCCCTGGGGCACACTGGGGGGGGGGGGGGGGGGGTGTGCCATGTGCCATGTGCCACTGGACCCTCTGACCACCATCAGTAGGCAAGGTGTCTTGCACAAGGACACAATGACTGAGGCCTGCCGCTTATGAGACGACTCCCTATAGCCCTGTATAAATTGGTGGTTTAATTTTGTTTTTTAGAAGCTGCAACAAGAGAATAACCATTTTTTCCCCTGAACTTTGGACAATTAACATAATTCGGTGCAAAATGCTCCTCCTGATGTTTTTTATTTTTTTTATTTTTACAGTTTCTGAAATGTGTTGCTGCCATCAAATTCAAAATTACTATTTTTTTTTAAATCATGATATCTCAGTTTAAACATTTGGTATGTTTATTTTGTTCTGTTGCATATAAAATATGGGTTTATTAAATTTGCAAATCATTGCATCCTATTTTATTTTTATTTATCCAAATTTTGTGATTGGGGTTTGGTTTGGAAGTGAGCCATGGCTTAATGATCGGTTCAAGCTCGTTTTGCAACTCTGGACATGTTTTTTCTTTAGTGAGAAGAGGCAGAAATGTGTTGGGATTGTAAAGGTTGCAGACCCCCTGAAATAGCCGAAATGTAGAATTTTTTTAACATTAAGCAGCGTTAAGCATCACTAACAAAAGCAAAAGCGTTTGCACGTGGATTTAAACATATATTTCATTCAGAAAAACGTGGAAGTCCTGACGAGGTTCGTTGGGACGGTCCAACTCAACCTTTTTTTGACCTTGCAGTTGGAACATTGTTGCATTTACTCACTGCACTTTCTGCACTTCAGCAGTTGTGGCTGCAGAATTAATTGTGTGTCTGTCTGCAGGACGGACGCATGCTGCCAGAAAGGTTTCATACATCCGAAGCATCCCTTTTCTTATTTTTAATTAAATCAATTCAAGAGGAGTACCTCGCTTGAAAAGAAACACAACTCAAGCATTTTCTGCAATCTTTAAACAGCACCATGTTTAATCATGCTAATGGATTTTCTTACACAAGATAGTGGTTTAAAAAAAACCTTTATCTAGACGCTGTCCTTTTTTTCATAGATGCCTTGTGCTTTTTTTGTAACACAAAGTTTCTGTGTTTAGATAAGAAGGTCAGGCTCCTGGATTCAAAGTGATGTTGTCTGTAGGATGTTGGTATATTTAGCACTTGTCTCAGGAGAGAGTCAATTTTAGCTCTTCGTCGAATCTTTCAAGTTTTGAACCTTTTGTTATGACAGATGAATGCAACAAACACACATCATTATCATTTTTCTTCTCTCGACACAAGCTTCTAATTTTTTTTTTACTCGAGCAGGCAGGTAGCTGCTTATAAATCACGAAGCCAACAGGATGCTTTGCTTCAATTTGAATTCCAGACTGCAAGAATAACCAAACCCATAAACACATTTTCATTATTGTTTTATTGCACTCCAGCAGTTTAGCTGCGATGTGATGGAGCATTCCTTACACACAGCAGGTTTCCATTATTGTGGAAAATTACAACATGGTGTTAAATTAGTTCTGCCTCCATCAAACATTATGTTTTGTTTTTTTAAAGTAGAAATCAGATTTTAATTTAAGAGTATGCCATATACCACATCAACTTCAGCTAAAAATAAGTGAGTTACAGCTGTTTATGTGTTTCAGGTCAGTTGGTTGTGGCGGCCATATTGAATTGGGTTGATTCCAGAAGTTAAAAACGTTGTTCCTTCACCTTTGCCTTTTGGTGGCAGGTGATAAAAACAGCTTTCCATCAGACATGTTCAAATGCTCGCTTTAGCTCCTCTCTTTGTTTATTGTCAGTCGCTGCATATTCACCCCACAGGAAGTCTCTTCAAACTGCTTTGATCTGCACTCCTCTGACAGTCACTCCAATAACCAAAAGATTGCACACTTAGGTACCTCCTGCTTCACAATAAAGATGCTTCTTTAAAAACTAAACTAATTAAACATATTGAAATTGGTTGTTTTTCACCACGCGTTTCTAATAACTGAACTCTTTAGAAACATATTGCATGCCGTCCTCGCTGTACTGCTCATCTCTGCACCTTGTACATGCAGAAACTCTGCTCTCCAGTTGATAAAATCTTCTTGTAGGCTGGACCCATCAGCTGGTTCCTGGAGGCGCCGCTCTCCGACTATTAAAACCCGGCTCGTTGTGTTTATGCTGCAGCTTCCATCTCTCCAGCTGCTCCTTTCCTCCCATGCCTGAAGCTTCTTTGTGCTTCTTGTTGCTACTCTGTCAAAACCCAGCTTCCTGCAGACTAACATATGTGCTGGAACACACTTACACACAGACACACAGAGAGAGAGATGCACAAACATGGAGGACTTAATTCCAAATCTGTCTTGATAATGACACAAAAACTTGCTGATGTGCGTGCTTCCCTTTTTTATTTTCTCAGCACTTCTGTCTCTCAGAGCAGCACACGTGACGAACTCTGCAGTTTAGATAAAACAGTTTATGGTCGTATCTCATCAGTGGGCAGTTTTAAGGTGGATTAAGTCAATTGATTGACTTAAGACCCTAAAATGGATAGCAGAAAGAATTAGGTTAATCTCACCCTTAATCAAAGCTTTGTTTGAACCTCCTGAGAGGAAGAATTGAGCTACAGTTGGCTATTTTGTCAAATAAATAAGGAGCTGCAGCATCAGTGGCAAGTTTTGGAAAAGAAATGCATCATAAAGCACAATAACATTTCATAAAACTCTGAGCTGCTCTTAAAAAGAATCATTTCACCTCGACTAAACATAAAGCTGAAGCTAAATAAACGCACACAGCAGCATCACATCAACAGTCTGGTTTAACGTGATGCTTCCTTCTCTGACCGCCACACTTCATCTCTGTTAAGGCTCCACAAAAGCCCAACGTGTTTGCAGTGTTGCAAAATGGATTGCTGCCTTCAAAGTGCACTTTTCCCTCCGACTCCTGCAGGGGAATAGATTATGCATGCACATCCATGTGTACTCACAGATGCCTGTCAGGTGCGAAAGGCACAAGTTGGCGTGATGAAATGTTTCCCCAACATTTCCAGAACCCTTAAAAGTGATTTCCTTGTCAAGTTCTGCAAAGACCGTGCCCTCAGCTTTTTCTATATACTGTATTTATTTAGCTGGGGTTTCAAAGCACAAAGTTTTGCTTCTCTGAGATGCTGAAAACTCTAAAGGTCAAAGGTCAGAACAGAATTTGAACACGGCAGTGATGGTTGACCTACAAATAAAACCAATCTGGTGGATTTTCAACGCTGTGCAGAAGTTTTAAACCAGAGTGGAATTCTTCATAATGTTTTTTTTTTCAAGTTGCTTCAAAGCAACATATAAGTTTAAATGAAGATCATCTTTTTTGAGAAATGGTGGAGGTGTAGCAGTTTTCATCAACACTCATGATAACCTATGATGTCACTCTCAGGGTATGTGCTAAAGTATTTTAGCTCAATATCTGCAAACTTACTGAGTTTAAGCAATGTTTGTGTTAGCACTTCATAATAATTATACCTTATTTAACCTTCCTTATGAATTAATAAATGGTTAGTTAACTTTGATAACATTATTAACTAAGGATGATTCATAATTAATAAGCTATAAATTAACATATGATTTACCCATAAAGGCAATTGTTTTCTGTAATTAAAATATTCATTGTTAATTCATGCTTAATAACTTGTGAATATATTCAATCTATATTCTTCACAAACGTATTCTATATACGGTGTGTAAATGTATGTGTATACTCACATAAATGTACTTTCACACCATGTGTGAAACATGTATTAATGGTTAGAAAATGTTTGAATTTACTATGATTTCAATCTGATTTCCACAGGTGAAAAGGAACTTGTGGCCCTTCAGGGTTTTGTCTACATTTACAAATACTTTAAAAATATAAATAGTCTTTACTTAAGAAGAGTTCACACTAACTCTTAAGTACTGCAGGATTAGTAGATAGTTAAAACGGTCTCTAACCATTAATATATGTCTAAAACATGGTGTGAAAATACTTTTA